AAAAGAATAAACAAATATATAAAAATTCCAAAATTCAGTTTGATGATAGTTATAGACATTGATTTCAACATTTTAAATTATTCAAAAGTTAAAAATATTTTGTATTTACGAAATATATTCTATATAACTAACGCAAATGTCATTTTATCGTATATAAAATAAAATGAAATACTTATTTTGATGAACAATGAAGTATTTACTTTTAGAGTGGAGTTAAAGATTAATTTTCATTTATAAGTATACGGACTTCTTTTTACAATTTCAAATATTATTAATACTAATGTTACGCAAAGATGAATTAGATGATAGAAAATATGTAGGTAGGCTAATTTTATATGATATTCTTATTTGTTTTTTTTTATAATTATAAGTACGAATTTAATCATATTTTATCAAACATTAAAACAACTTGATTTACTTTTAAACTTATATATATATATATATATATATATATATATATATACTTATTGTATTTATTTTTTCCTAAATAGACGATATGCAGTGAATTATATAAATTTAAGATTAAGGGAAAAAACATTGTAAATGAGAAAAGTTTGTTAGAGGAAAAGAGAGATATTAGCTTAAAAGGAGTTTAGAAAAACATCGCACATTCAGATACAAATGTCTATAATATAAGTGAGAACAATCTTCGAGGTCGAGCAACATGCGTTCAAGCATTGACAGAGTGCCGAGTGATGTACCTTGGTAATCTATGTAAATTGAAAAAACGACTCTCAGCAGGACATATACCGACCGGTCGACAAAGTAACTTCAAGAAAAGATACTCGCTTGAATTTCTTTACACTAGACGACACTATTTGGTATGTGTTTATGAACCCTTTCAAATATCCGTTACTTTTTCTACTGTACCTTGTACATTATGTAAGTGCTTTAACGTTTATACAACATAGGAAAGGCTTTTTTATTAATGAAAGTTACTCTTAATGTTCGAAGCTCTGTGCAAATTGCGTTTAAAATTTTTAATAAACAAATGAATCCTTATATATATATATATATGTTTGTATATTTAATAATTACTATTTCATGTCCACAATAGTACACTATTGAAGAAATTTTTTATTTTTTATTTCTTTAACAATAAACATAGTTTTGTAAGTTAACTATTTCTTATAACAAGACGTATAGCCGCTGTAACGATATAGGAATTTATAGAAAAATTAATTATAATTTACTTTAAAAATTATTATTGTAAATTTTAATCGCTTACTCGTACATTTTTCACATATATACTTTTATATTTCGTTTAAAATTTTTCTTACCAATGTAAATTCGAAATATGTAAAAACGATATGGAAGCAATAATCGTATTTAGTACTTATGAATTTCGACTATAATAATTGTAATATTATAATTATATATCATAACGATAATTGTAAATTAAGATTATTAAGTTTATGTAAAAATAAACTAATGATAATGGCATTTTTTATTTACTTATTTGTACTATATAAATATAAAATAAAATTTGCTTACTGTATGAAATAACTTTCATTTTATTTCGTACAAAGCTATATATATTAATTTTATATTTAGTATTTATTTTTAAAACATGATTATGCAAAATATTAAAACATTATTGAAGATACTTTTATGATTAATCAATTATGTTATTATTAATAAAAAAAAAAAAAAACTTATGTAAATAAATGGATAGACCGTAAGTCAATGGCTACATTTCTTCTTTTAATTTTGATTTTTATATTTGAATTAATAACCATCCAATTGATACAGAGCTCTTACAAAACAAGGCACAGTCATCACTACACAATGTAGTTTTTACTCTGGAAATGTGTATACTGAAATTGTCATTGTTAATTGCTTTAAAAATAAAATTCATGCATTTAAAAAATCTAATTCAGATTCAAGAAGTATCTTATCTTATGAAATAAATAGGGAAGACAAGCGTAGTGTACTATAATGAGGTTGCAAAGCATAGAAAATTAAATTCTAGAAATTATATAAATAGACTTTAAAGATAAAAAAAAAATTAAGCACCTAATATTAAAAACTAATTAAATGGAAAATTCATATTGTACAATTAACATAAGCCATAATGCTCGAATACATATAAACATTGTAGACGGCAGTCGTTAACGTACCAATTTCAAAGTCCTGAATATCTTCAGGCCGCGAATAAGCGGCAAGTGGAGGCTCCAGGTCGCGAATCTCCTCAAGGAGGAGCACCTCTATCTCGTCGGCTGCGTACAAATCGGAGACCGAACGAAGATGCCGAGACTCGCTCATTACTTAAGCACAATGATCAGCTACTATCTTTTTGTCGCCCCATGCAACAACCGCCGTATTTTCGTAATTGCATTGGTTTCGTCATTTGGCAGCAACTTTCTCATAAAAAAGTATATCTTCCGTTTTTTATTTTGCTCCACTTTCCTATGAAATGTCACAGAAATGTAAAAAAGTAAGCTATTGTATAGTTAGTTGTTCATTCGATTGTTACGTTTCAAGTCATTTCTCAATACTGTTTCATTTTTCAAGAACAATAATACTTATAATTATATTTTCTTAAATTTATATAAATGACGTGTAGCATAACTACTACATTTAATTATTTTTTAAATAATAAATTTTATAGTGATCAAAAAAATATGAAAATTTAAATAATTAAAAAATAAACTGTAAATATTTTTATATGCGAACCATTTTTATTGATCAAAAATATAATAATTTAAATAATTAAATAATAAACTATAAATATTTTTATAACTTAAACAATGAAAATTTAACATTAATTAAATTTATAATTAAACTACGAAAATAGTGCTTAAGTAATAGTTACAATATACTATTAATAATTAATTTATTACACATATAAAATAAATTCAAATTTTATAAATTTGGTCTTACTCGTTCGTTTAGTAATTTGATTTAGTAATTTAAGTAAAAATATTCTATTTATATTCTGACAATATTTTGATAAAATTTATTCTGCTATGTTTACAATATAACATATAGATAAAACATGACATACAATTGTTTTTATACAATCCTTTCCATACTATATATATATATATATATATATATATATACATATATGCGCGTGTGTGTGCGTGCACGTGCATTTGTGTGGGCGCGTAAGCGCGTGCGTGAGTGTGTGTGATTGTGTGCAATTATATACAATTATACAATTCTATATACTTTATTATAAATTATATCAAAATTATTAAAAAAATTAAAATCACATAAAACTACTTTTACAAATTAAAAAAAAAATATATATATATATATATACAGTAATCTATAGCATGCATCAATAAAAATACTACAAGTTTAATAATAATAAAAAAAAAGAGCAAATTACTATATATACAATATAAACACAACACCACCGGTTGATAGAAACAAGCTGTACAAAATGACAACTAAAGTTTTCCTAGACAATCAGGGGCATTCTCTATACTTCTGCAATTACAATGGACCAATATAAACTAATTATATGAATAATGAAAAATAATAAAATTTAATTATCTAATGTGCATAAAAGAAATCCACTCTGATATTACATACAGACGTTCTAAGATGAAAAAAAAAACTTAAAGGGTGAATTTGATCGAATATCGGAATGGAAATTTTTAATTTATACATAAAAAATTAATCGATTACTTTTATTGAATTAGACAATTCAGACGATAGCACAGTCTTATTTCATATTTTAAATTCACACTTTCACATTTTCCTCAAGTTTTCTTTCAGTTTTTCCGCGGTAACTCAATATTATCATGCAGGTGATAGTTTAAGATCGCCATTTTTTCATCCCCTTCTATTCCTGAAAACATAAACATAACCTAGACAAGAAATTGCGCAGACGCTAGAGTGCGTGCAAACTTGGATGCAAATTAATAATAACTATATCAACTGTTTATAAGAATAATCGTATAAAATTCATTATCATCTACATCTGATCTATTTACATTTGATACGAACAACATATTTATTACTTTATATTTTTATACTTTGCAAAAGTTATAATCACATTAAAATATTAATTAAAACATTGTCATTAAAAGCTAAATTGTATTATTGAAAAAATTTAAATATTTTAAAAGTAATTTTTTGTACTTTAAATGAATTAAGCTAAAGATTTTTTTTATTTCATTTTAGGTATCAAAATATTTTATATCAACTGTTTATTTTTTTTTTTTTTTTTTTTTTTTTTTTTTTTTTTTAATATTAAATATCGATGATATAAAGCTGTATTTATTGGATTGAAATGTTATTAGTAGTAGATTACATTGGAAAATTGAAATATTCATAGAATTATTCCTTTCAAATATAAACTTATTATTAATGCTTTAAATTACAAATGTTATTTTACACAATAAAAATTTTATGAATTAGCCGAATAGCTGGTTGCCAGCCAATGAAAAATAATCTCTCGTTACTTACAGTTGGCAGCTTTGTTTACTATCCAAAAGAAAAAAAAAACACTTATTCTACAACAATAGTAAAACATAAATATCGGTTGGACATGTCGTTTTATCCTTTAATTGATCAATGATTTTTATAATATTTAAGATAATGTTATGAATTTTATGATTATTTTTATAATGTAATATATTTTGTACAAGAAAAAGTCCATTTTTAGTAAAAAAAATTGATTATTTTAAATTTAATTCAAGTGTTTAAATATAATGTTAATATAAATTTTGCTACTAAAAAAGGTAAATTTTTCCAACGATTTTGTTAATTTATATACTTTTTAAAATATAATGACATATAATAGCATAACATAACCGTAAAACTATATTTTATTATCGTAATCAGATTTATAATTTATATATTTTCATATTTTTAATTGAATAACAATCTATTTTCTAATTAAATATTATTACTTATTTTATTGTATAACTTTGTGTTAAATAATATTCTTATGAAATTAAGATTAATATTTATATATATATATATATATATATATTTAATTATTTAAATAAAATATATTTGTAAAACTTTACAGATGTGATAACTTCAAATAGATATTGTTAAAGAAATTAAGAAACTGAACATTCTTAGCAATGGCAAAACTTTTCAGTTACTTAACAATATTATTTTGGGCATCATTACCAATGATTTTTGGCCTTTTTCTTTTTACTAATGGATTTTTTCTTCGTAGAAATGCAAGAATCGAATACAATAACTGTTCTTTGTCTGAACAAGATTTATTTAATTTTGAAAATCCGCACTCTATTGCTGGGCAATGTTTAAAACCACGTGCTAGAGTAATATTATTAGTTGTCGATGCTTTAAAATATGAATTTACAACTACATTTTATGATGAAACTTCATCAGCTTCTTTTCATAGAAATAAACTGCCTATAATTAATAAAATATTAAAAAATTATTCAAAAAATTCCAAATTATTAAAGTTTATAGCTGATCCTCCAACAACCACAATGCAAAGATTAAAAAGTATAACTACTGGTACATTACCAACATTTATTGATATGCATGATAATTTTGCAGCAGATAGTATTGTAGAAGACAATTTTATCAATTTAAATATGGAAAATGGAAATGTTTTTATGGGAGATGATACATGGACAAAATTGTATCCTAATAAGTTTTTAAGAGAATACGCAGCTCCATCATTTGATGTTTCAGATCTTGATACGGTAGACTTAGAAGTTAAGAATCGAATTTTCAAGGAAATTGAAAATACAGACTGGTCTCTTTTAATAGCCCATATTTTAGGAATTGATCATTGCGGTCATAAACACGGAATGCACCATCCAGAGATGCTAAGAAAATTAAATGAAACAAATTTTTTTATAGAAGAAATTATTGAAAAAATTAATACAGAAAAAAGAGATACGATACTTTTCGTTGTTGGTGATCACGGAATGACAGAAAGTGGTGATCATGGTGGAAGTGAATTGGATGAAATTGAGGCAGCAATGTTTATTTATTCAACTTTGCCATTACTAAATTCAAGTACAATTTTAGATATTGAATCAACATCAATTGTAAATCAGATTGACATTGTTCCAACAATATCGGTTATTTTAGGAATTCCTATTCCATTTTCAAATATTGGAAATTTAATTATTGAAGCAATTCCAAAGAAAGAATATATACAAGATTTAAAAACATTTGATTTTAATTTTATTTTACATTCACAATGGAGGAATATTTTTCAAGTGCAGCATTATATAGATACTTATTCATCTGAAAACTTTTTATCCGATGAAAATAGCTTATCAGAATTAAAGAAAATGTATAATGAACTTTTACTTAAAATGAGATTTATAAAAAGTGATATAGATTTGAAAGAATTTATAAATTTATCAGATAAATATTTTAGAACTGTGCGAAAAATGTGTTACGAAGTATGGGTACAATTTAATCCTAATTTAATATCAAGAGGATTAATTTTGTTTTTCTGTGCTATATTTTCATTTTTTATAATAATAAGTGGATTAAGAGGCAAACGACTACAGAAAATATTAGAATCTTCATTTTTAACATGTATATGTTGCACATTTTTATTAAGTTTATCAATTAATTTATGGTTATATTGGCTTCAAGTAATTGACAATTTTGAAAATACTTTTCTATTTTTTTGTGGCTTAATACCAGTACTTTGTTTTGGTATTTTATTAATTCAAAACTGGGATTATATTTCAATGACATGGTTCGAAGAATCACGGCAGAAAAAAACTATGATAAGTATTTTTTCTAGAATAATTCTACTTACTATAGTTTTTGGTGTATTTTCAAATAGTTACATTATTGAAGAAAATAAAATTTTGTCCTATTTTTTAATTACATTATTTTGTTTTCTTATATACTCAGTGCAATATAAAAATAATACTCAAAGTACTTATAAGAAAATCAAAATTTTTGAAAGGTCAAATATAAATGTTTCTATGTCGCTATTAATAGTTTTTATTATTTGTTTATTAATAAGAAGTACAAATTATTTTTGGAGACAAAGAAATGAACAGAAACAATCACAACAAGTGGAGCAGGTCTATATGAATTTTATTATTGGAAAAGTAGGATCAATAATTTCAAAAGATTTAGAAATGATTTTTGTACTTGTAGCAATTGCTTTACTTTCACTTTATATTACAGTCATCAAAATTTGGCTTTGTGATTGTGGAAATTTATCAGGATATTCTCCAAGTGAAATTTTAGCTCGATTTTCTCCAGCAATTATAGTTGTTACTATTTCTTGTTACTGGATTTTAAAGTTACAAAGAATTTCAAAATTAAATTCTGCCCTCATACAGCGTATTAATTCATTGCCTATAATTATTTATATACTATTTGTTAATGCTATATTCTTAATATTCTTTCGTCCACTAACAGTATTTCTACTTCCTAAAGAAAAGGAGAATATAAGTATTTATCAAGAAGAAACAACTATACCAAAACTTTATAAAAAAATTAAAAATGTACTTTATAACAAAAAAATTGAAGATGAAAATGAAATACCAATAGTCTTTGGACTTGGAACTGTCTATAGTGCCTGCTTTGTTTTACTTAGTGTATTTTTATGTTTAATTTATACATTATTACTGGGATTTATTATAACTCCAAGTGTAATTTTAATGAATCTAATTTGCATAGGATTATTGTACATTAGTGCGATCGATCGAATTAATAGAGCTACTACTTTAGGTAAATATCAATGTAAGCAGAATATTACAAATACTAAAAAATTCATGATTCTTAAAGTAACTTTGTAAAAATATTTTTATTCATTCACCAGAAGAATTTCTACATGTTCCTAATCCATCGATTCTATGTTGGTTCCTTATTGCGGAATATTTCTTCTATGCTACGGGTCATCAACCAAGTTTCTCAACAATCCATTGGGATGCTGGTTTCATTGGAATTGATGGTTCATTGCAACACCACTCTCTTCGAGCAATACTCCTTGGTAATTTATATCTTATATTTTTGATATGCTGAATGTATGAATCAAAAACAAAATTTTATTTTATTAGGAATAAATACATTTGGTTCACATATAATTTTGGGAATGACTTTTCCACTTCTTATATTTGCACCATTTACGTTGAGGTTAGTTTTTCCTAATTTAATTAAATCAAAAAAAATCCAGTGGAATGATATTAAACAAGGTGAACTCATCCTTTTTCAAAATGATACCCAATTTCATTCAGAAGTTTTTAATGTTGCTGGAAAATATATATTACTTCATGCTGCTAGGGTAAGTCATAAACTCAATTTCAAAATAGAATTTTTAATAAATTTGATATTTTATCACTATATTATTGTTCATAGGTATTTGTTTGTATGCTTGCTGCTACTGTACATTGTCGACATTTAATGGTATGGACAATTTTTGCTCCAAAACTAATCTTTGAAGGAATTAGTTTTATTATTACAGTTGCTAGTGTTTTAACATCTTTATTGTTATTATTGAGAATAGAAAATTGCATTCAAAAGCTTATTTTTCAAATTACTTAAAATAAATAGAGTTAAAATTATTCTAAAATCGATTAATGCAACAATTATTGATTACAGTACTGATTAGAAAAATAATAAAGAAATTTTTTTAATTTTTCAATTTCAAAAACTTTTTCTTTATCTTTTAAAATCAAAATACTTAAAAATTGCTTTTTTCTGCGCTTTTATCAATAATTAAATGTAAAATGGACAATTAAATTTAAAGTTTTAACCAAAGTATTAGCTACTAAATAATAAAAATTTGAAATACAGTGTTCCATATTAATTAAATTATCCTCATTATAATCATCTGAATAATGTCGAAGAACAATTATCTATGATAATTATTAATTTTAAAAAATAGCATTATTGCCATATTTATATTTTTTCATATTTAGACATTATTTAAAATACAATATATAAAAAAATATATGAATTTAAAATTCATATTTAAATTTACATTTATTTACCAAAATTACATTTATTCTTTAATAAAATAATATTTATAACAAATTTAAATTCATATAAAAATTATAAATTAAATCTTTATAAAATAAATAAATAAAGAATAGTTCGTTTGCAATAATTATTACATCTAAGCATTATTTACTTCTACTGTATAAATTTGTTATAAATAAAATAATTAATATTTGTGTGATAATTTATTTTTATTTTTAATGTATTATTATTTCTTATTTTTAATGAACAAGTAATTGTAATCAAATGTATTTAATGAAATAGAAATTATGAATATTTAAATCAATTGAAAATATGTACATATTTTAATAAACACTTATACACTGTTATTATGATTGATTACTTATATTTTAAAAATTTCCTCACAATTTAAATTTAAAAACTAATAAAATTGTGCTTATAGATGAATTAAAAGTCATTTATTAATCAACAACAAAATAAAGCATCCATACTTGTATATTACTAAGTGTTTTCTGATTTTATTAAATTGAAAACTAGAATCTTTACATTCAAGTAAAATTATTACTTATAAAAAGTGATTAAATTTCATAACAATTTATAAAAAAAATACATCTTAAAATAAATATAAATTGTAAGATATACTTGTAAGATAAAGAAATGACGAAAATTGATACTTTATTTGATTATTGATTTTTGAATTATTGATACTTAAATAATTACAAAATTTAATCAATTATGTTAGTAGATGATGTAATTTATATATATTTCTCATAGTTTTCACATTAATTTTGAAACCTTAGAAAATAAAAACTTCAATTGTTACTGACAATTCTAAAAATTTTATTTTTAACTATATTTAATAGAACTAAACTAATTATTCATTTTTTATTTAAACATTGAAATATTCCGTTCAATAATTATTCAATAATTTTTATTACATTTGATAATAAAATCCTAAGTATTAAAATTAATTTGCATGAAAATGTAAACTTTAAATTTATCTACCATCATGATTATTTAATATAATGGTTTATTCATTTTATTAAAAGTAATTGCTTACAAGTAAAAGATATTGATATGAATAGACAATCGAATATAAAATTTGTAGAAAAGAAATTGAAAGTTTAAAGAACTGTACGTCTTCCTGTGCTTCAAGGTCGTACTTAGTACTTATAACAATAGCATTCGTAAAGTAAAGTAAGGCAATATCTATTACAAGTCAATTAACTAACGCCTCATGCACTTGCACTACTTTGTTTTACTTTTTTTACTTTATTTATAAACTAGAAAAGGAAGACAGTGAGAGAATCTTATTTGGAAATGCGTACATTGTCCGTGTTCATCCCCATGAGATTTCATAAAGATTGCTCTCGCAAGAAACACGTTCGTACATCTGTCACTCCAATTACTTAATCGCTTACTAAAAGATCATTACTTAATGTAGAAGACAATTGCAGTGAACAATAAGTTCTTAAAAGTGCATATCCTGGCCAAGCAGATGCAAAAAGTCAAGATGTAAGACTGCAATCCCATTTGGCAAACTATTAATTATCTGTATTACATCGTGGCGGAACGGTCCTAATTTGTGTGATTTTGCTTTTGTTTAGCGGCACAGGTGAAAGTCAGAGCACTTTATTTTCACTTTGACGAGTGAATCGACGCTAATCGGCGCGGGAATGCGAAAATCATACAAATCTAGTCCGACAGTAGTTGCGCACCGATGCCAATCTTTTACTGCACTTGCCATTTACGACATTACATCTCGTACAAAACTTCCGGTTTCTATTACGGAACGTTGTTGCCACGAGGATGCTTTTTTAGTTTCACTTTTCATTTAATAATCTTTATCTTTTACTTGAAATTGCTGTGCAATTGTATATCCTAGAAAACTGTTTTTGACCATATTAAAAGCCTAATGAAAAATATTATTAATAGTATAATGTAAATTATCATTTTTAAATATCATTTTTAATAAATATTTGACGAAAATTCTTTTTATAATTAATATCAAGTTAAATGTCCTTATAAAGATTGAATTTTAATTCGTTATCATTAAGATTGATAAAATATGCTTATTTTATAAATATTTAACAAACTTTAATAATTAAATTTATTGCATTTATGGAATGGATTATTCTATTGCTTGCGAATATAAGAACAAAAATATACGAAAAAGTAAGACATTTTATTTAATAAACTTATTATAATCTTATTATAATTTATAATGATTAATTATAATTATTAATTATAATCATCATATAATACTTTATAATCATTACATAAATATTTAGTTTATTACGATAAAATAACTAATAAAATTTGGATTAAAACAAAAAAATTGTTATCAATAACTTTCATATTTAATATATTAACACTACCAGCTCTTAACAATAATTAGAAATAATTAAGAAAAATAAAATATATTATTGGCAACAAAAAAGTGCTGTTCTTGTTTTTGTTTATTCTCCTTATAACTATTTGTATTTATAATTAATTCCTAATTTATCAATTTCATCCTTTCGAATTTCAAATGTCTAATTTAACTTTTTTTAGTGCTTATTAAAAGTACGATGTATGAATAAATTAGATGCAATATTTAGCAAAGAAAGTATTTTATAAAATAATATTCGATTTTTACAATTGGAACCTTATTAAAATCAAATATATTTATGAAATATAAACGTTAATTTATAATGGTAACAAATTTTGTGTATTATTTTTTAATAACACTTTATTATTTAAAGTGTTATTTACCATCAAATAATCTCATATGTGATAAATCGCATATTAAAGTATGAATTTTTTTATATTGAATATAATAAAGAAATTAACAAATAAATATACACTACATAAACTGTAAAAATAAAATAATTCATAAAATTCACATGGTTAAAATTTAAATTAATTATAAATTTTCAAACGAATTAATACATTAATACAATAATGTTAAAAAATAATTAAAATAAAAAAATTAACAAAATTTGTAATCGAACGTTGAAACTCATATCAAGGAAAATTACGATTTAACAATTAGATTAAAGAAAACTTTATATCAGCAATACACTATATAAAAACATAAAGAACATATTTTAATTTTCACCACATGAATTTACAAAAATATAAATAACAACCGTATAAGCGAATGAATAAATGTTCTTTCGAACTACAAATAATATTATATTAGAATTTTTTATATAATTCAATATATATATATATATATATATATATATATATATAAATAAATAATTTCACTCAAAACAAGACTTCCTGAAAAATGGGCGGAGAAGAAGATAGCTAAATCATGAAGTGTAACCCAATATAAATTAATCTTTATTTAACAGCTATTATTCAAGTAAGTATAAATGTAATTGTGTACCTCGTTAATCATATACAGAGGTATAATAATATATATATTCAAAAAGTAGATTAATAAAAATTAACAATAAATTTGCCAAATATTGAAATGTCACAATTTGATTTATAATATGTAGAGATGGCATTGTTTGTAGTTATCTTTGAAGAAGTAATCTGTAATAATTTAGAATTTCTAATTTCTTCGAGCCAATGTTTTTACATTTGCATTTACATAATTATTTGTTAAATATAACTTATTTATATGTTAACAAAATAAATTAGAATACAAATATTAAATTAAAGTTTGCATATATTGCTAACATATTTTGGTTACAAATTGATAATTATCGTATAAAATTAAATATTTAAAATTTTATTTTATTCGAGATTATTAACTTCTCTACTGAATTAATTTTAATATCAAAGAATTTAGAAACGAATATTAGGAGAATTAGTCAAACTATAAAAATATGTATCTATAATGATTAGTATTGTACAGATGATTTTAACATATAATCCAAAAACGACAAATTAATAACAAATATATATAATTTTTGGTTCACTCTAATGATTGATATTCTCATTTATGTAATCGATGTGATGTAGACTATGATTTTTAAATGTTGACCGGAAAATAAAATAAATACTTCATAAATAACCTTTATAAACCAATGCCCTCTTTTTCTCTTATTATAACATTTTTTATTAAATTTTTTAGCTTTTAAATTAAAAAATTAATGATAAAATGTGACGTTCTATTTGGTATATATTGTAACAATAAAAAAATTCAAAGAATTATAAAATAAAATAATTAAACATAATATCAAAAATTGTAAAATTATGATTTTTCTAATTTTTCTTGATAATTTTAATATTAGTATGGTATTTCAAATGTTTCAAGATTTATAATTTGAAAGATTTTCTATTATTAAAAGTTAAATTGATTAATTGAGTAATAATCTGTTAATTGCTAACTTAATTTTATATTTTTGTGATAATTAAATCATTAAAAACATAAGCTTGAATTAATCGTAAAAAATTTTTAATATACAATGAGCTTCATGTTTCATATTATATTGTTTTGTACCAAATGTATTTTTTTGTAATTTTATAAAACTATCTGCAATATTGAATTTGTTTTAGCTTAAATATAACTTCTACCTAAAAATAAATACATTATATACGTAGATTTTAAAACAATTGAAAAAGAAATCTTATCAGCTATGTGGAACTTCATTTATTTGCAGTTCAGAATAGGTTATTTATTAATAAAATAAATC